TAAATTAGGATATTCTTGGTAGTCCAGGCCTGGTTTTGGGCTTGTTGTAGTCTTTCCTTTAAAATTGTTCCACATATGTTTGTTTTGTTTAGTTCTTTGAGTATATATTTTGTATGTAGCTGGATTTGCCTATCTTGTGTACTGAATATTTTGTACCCAAAATCCGTATGTATTCCACTGTTTATGGCTGTAATCGGAAGCCTGTTTTTGTGTTTGAATGTTGCTTGTATCATGCTGTCCATTTTCTTACAGTTTTGTTCTGAGAAGACGATATTTTGTAATAGATATTCTACTGCTGGAAAGAGAACGTGATTAATAATATATCTGTATTGTTTATCTGTAATTTGGCTTCTATTGAAGGTTTGTATTGTGGTTTGTACTTTGTGTCTGATGAGATCTATCTGATGAACTTTGTTTCCCATGGCTGTAATCCATACCCCTAAGATTCTGATAATTTCTTGTTTCATCTTGGGTTGAATTTTGAACCTCTCCATTTTGATTGCTTTATTTTTGGTCGGGTTTATGGTGATAAGTGCTGCTTTCTCTGGGTTTATTGTCAGACTGGCGATTTTTGCAAAACTTTCTACTGTTTGGACGATTTTTTGCATATTTCTTCAATTATTTGTAATCCAACATATATCATCCATGTATGTGATTGATGTTATTTTGTCAATGGTTGAAATCCATCTACCTTGTTTTTTACTTGATGTTTTGGTTTCAAATTTGTATCTGAGTTTTGATGTTTCTACTTTGCAGATTAGAGGGTCATAATATATTCTTCACAAGAGGGGTGAAATTGTATTTCCTTGATCGATTCCAACTATTGGTGTAAATGAATTAATTAGGCTGTGACATGTAATGACTTGGTTTTTCCGGTCCTCTAGCAGATTCATTATAATGTTTGTAATGTTGCTAGGTGTTTTAATTCTCTTGAGTGCTTTTTCTAAAAGGTCATGTTGCATCAAGTCGTAAGCTTTGCTGATGTCTTGACTTAGAAGCCAGTATTTCTTTTTCTCTTCTCTGGCTTCTTCTAACATGTTATTTATTATACTTATTGGTTCTTGTATACCTCCCTCTAGGAGTTCTGCCCAGTTTCGATCTGACAGTATTTTGTGTTTTGTAAAGATTTGTGCAAGTCTGTTGTTGATTATCTTTGTGAAGACTTTTTTGATTGTTTCAAATAGTGTGATTGGATAGGTAAAATTGAGTTGATGTTGCCAGTCGATTTTCTTTGGGATGGGATATATAATATTTTGCTGCCATTTCTTTGGTATTTTGCCTGTGAGCATTATTTTATTGAATAGTTGGGTTATTCGGATAAGTGCCTGTTCACCAAGATTTTTGAGCATGGGATAGCTGATCCCTAATTTTCCTGGTACTGAGTCATTAGACATTTTCTTTATTATGGCATGGACTTCGGATGGTTCAATGACGAAGTTTGCTTGTTGGTACCAGCCTTCTGTAATTTCTTCTTTGGGTCTGTATTCTTGTTTCCATATATCCTATTCTGGCTATCTTATGCTTTTCATTGTTACCTTATGTTGTTGAAAGTGCTGCTCCACCAGGTTTATGATTTCTCTTGGTTCTGTAGTGACCATAAGTTCTGGCTCTTTGGTAATGATTTTGTTCATTGTGATATGGTTGGATGTCTTGTTTAAAATGGAGTTTATCATTTTTCGTTTATTATCTGTGAAGTTTGTAATTAGATTTTTTATGTGTTTTCTAATTCACTTGGCTGTGATGTGGCAGTCTTCCTCCTTTAGCACTTTTTTGGTAATGCTGTATGTTTGTTTGATTTCTTTTATCCACATTTTAACTTTCTCTGATTACAGATCTGTTTTTTCCCAAGGAAGTGTTCCAATATGCTGTTTTGTTGTGTTGATTTTCCCAATTATATTTGTAATATTGTTTTGGATGGTATTTGTTCATTGGTTAAGAATGAAAAATTTTCTAAACCATGTATTGAGCTTTCTGAGATCGGTAATTTGTGTGTGCATGTTTTGTTTGTGGTGAGGATTTAAGTCTGTATGTTTTTGATGTCTCTTTCTTTTCTTAATATTTTGATGCTTTGCAGATCACATCCCATGTAAGGTTCCATATTTTGTTGGATATATATTTCCCTATATTGTGTTTTTAATTTGTTCCATAATGGTATTTTCTACCTGTTGTTTGTATTTTTCCCACTGTTTGCTATTGGTATTCTTCGTATTGAAGATATTATTGTGTTTGGGAGTTCTACTCTTCTGTTGTTATATCGTAACTTTTGTTATTTCTATTCTGCATGTGGCAATGTCATGATCACTATTGGTTAGCATATTTGAGAATTCGATATCTGCATTAATTAGGTTTCAGCTGTTATTAGGTGACATCCAAATGTAATCAATTCGAAATTGTGTGGTATGCATGTTTGTCCAAGTGAACCGGATTCTGTTTGGCCATATTTCTTGGAAGGTATCAATATGATCTAATTGAGTTAGGGTTTGAAGTATATGAGCTGTTGGTCTTTGGCTATTGCTTGCTGGTCTTTTATCAATTTTTGGATTGTGTAGGGCATTAAAGTCTCCTGCAGTGATAATGTACCAGTTTTTGTGATGTCTGGCCCAGATTTTGTCTTGGATTCATTTGGATATAGAGTGATGTTCTGGATTACCTTTACTTAGTATGTATACCCCAATTATGCTAATATGTTTATAGTTTTTGTAGTTGAGGTCTATACATATGCTTCTTCCTGAATATGTATTGATGTTACCAATGTGGTTTGCAATGTTTTCTTTAATCATTATTATGACTCCATCACCTTTTTTCCCATTGCTCCATGTGGTATGGTATCCTTTCATTTTCCAGTGTTTGGATACATCTAATGTGACTTGTGTCTCTGTAATAATTGCGATGTCGATTTTTTCCTCATTGCAGTATGTTAACCATATTGCTCTTTTGGTGGGGTTATTGAACCCTCTGACATTATGTGTTACTATTTTTCAAATCTTTCATGATTGAGTTTTGACTTGTGTCTTTGTATATTGCTATGTTCGTTACTTTGTGATATACATGTGGTAGAAATTGGTAAATCCTTGACGCAATTGACGCAATTATTTGACGCAATTAATTGAGTCACTATTAAAACATATAAAATAATTGAGTCAGACGCAATTATTTTTGAGGATTTTGGCAATTGAGTTAACAGTAAAATAATTTACACCACATGTATACTTTGTGATATAGCAGTATGTTGTGAATATGATGTTGTGTTGGATATTTTTTGTGGTGTTCTTTGATGTTTTTGTATTTCCATCAAACATTCTTGAGTTATGATGTTGTTGCTAATGTTGTTGGTCGTGTCTGTGTCTGCTGTATGATTAGTATCTTGTGTGTTATATTCTTGTAGCTCCTCTAATAGCTGTGTATCTTCTTATGGGTAGTTGTCTATCGAATTATAAAAGTTTGACAAATTGTCAGTAATCTCATGCGCATCTGCACTGGTACTTGGGTTGTTTTCCATTAATTAAGATTGGTCATGATATTTGTGTCTCCTGGGATGAGATTGTAAATGGTATTCATAAGGTTATTCATTGTTTGGTTAGTGTATTGGATGGTTACATGGATCTGTTTCTGTTGGGCTTGTAGGTCTTAGATTTCATTTCTGTTGTCTGTTTAGTTTCTTCATGCTCCTTCTGTGGAGCCATCATCTGTACTTTGATTTGGGATGGCTTCTGTTTCTTCCATAGCACCCACTCCATCTTCATCGTAATATTCAAGATTTGTAATTCTTTCATCCATGTCTGTTAGTTGTTCTTTGATTTCTTTAATGTCTTGCTGAAGTTGTTTGAGGATATCCACAACTTGTTGCAGGTTGTTTGGGTCTTGTGCATTCTGTGTCGTATCTGCTTCCGATTTTTTGAGGGCTGCTGCATACGATCCAGGCTTGCTGTTTCTTTTCCCTTTTGTGGTTGTGTCCATGGTTCTTCTGATATTTGTTGTTTTTGCTGGTTTAAATTTCTGATATAATTTACCAAACTTGTCTGCTTGTTCTTTATTATATTCCTTTCACTGTTGTCATTTTTGTTTGCTCAGACAGTCAATTGTTAAGTGTGTATACGCGTCACATATGGTGCAGGTCTTTGTATCAATCTAAACCCACGTGATTGGTGTTTCACCCAGGACAAAGTCTTGTGCCATTGCTTCCTCTAAGCATTGTTGGCTTTCGAAGCTGATGATTGCTACTTTTTTGTGGCGGTAGCTTCCTGTTCTGGGAATGTAACAGGTTTTGGCTTTAATTTGTTGACAGATGACATACAGGTCAAATGCTGTTGTGTTTGGAAGAGATTGACTAGTTTGGTAGCAATAATACCCCTAGCTTTCATCTTCTCAAGGCTCCATTGTTTATCGAAGATTTTGACTGAATCTGCTTTGAAGGGGGTGCTCCACATGTTGACTAGTTTTTCCTTGATATTTCTTTCTTGGAAAGTAACTATAGCTGTTTGTCACATACATTGAGTACTCATACTGATGTCAGTAACCTGTCCAAATCTGATGAAGGTTTGTTGTACATCTATGAGTTTGGTGTCCAGAGGGATATCTCATACTCTAATACTGTTTTTCTTATTTGTATAGGGATTGATGTTTGGCATATGTTCCATGTACTTGTTTTTCAAACCTGGTAACTTGATTGTGCTTGCCCTCTCTGCGGCTTGCTAATCTCCAAAAATGGCTACAATCGACTCTTCATCTTTTTCCCTTCTTTGCGAATTGCAAGAAGGTCTTTGGATACTTCTAAGGCTTTGGTAATGAATTGTATTTTCTGCCAAAATATAGTGCCAGGGACTTCTACCGCTGGGATTCCAATCTTGCTTCTTTGTCTGCCATACCTCACCATGCGATCGAATGGAAAGCGGGGTCTAGGCTTACTACTTATTCTTTCTGCCTTTTCCTTTCCTTTTTTAACTGTTTGCTATTCATTTTCATATTTCTGGTAGTTATGGTTTTCTGGGTCTGATGCATACATGTCTTCATCACTATTGTCAATGTGGGCGTATCCTCCAAAAGATAATGTTTGATATCTCTCCACAGCTTGCTGTTTGCTGGTCTGTTGTAACTTTCCATATATTTCCTCTTTAGGGTAGGTCTTCGTGCTGGTAAATGTTTCTCCCATCTCTTTTTCCATCATTTGGCTCCATGTGTTTCCATGACTTGTTTTGTCACTTTGTACTGTCACTGTTGCTTGTTTCTGCTGAACTGCAACCTTGGATGGTGGTGTCGGGACTTGGAATATTGCTTCTGTTTCAGTTTTTCCTTGTTTTTTGCTGGGTTTTTGAACTGAGTATGGTGTAGTTTCTTTACTTTTCATATTGTTTCTCCCCTTGGACATGTCTCCTAGGTTGTAGTTGGGCCTGACGGTTAGCTTGGAGCTTCTAAGACTCCTGTTTGCACTCATTCTCCTTTCGCTATTGTGTTTTCTTTTATGGTAACTGTATGCATTTGGGAAAGAGTGTATTGTCAATACAAATTAGTATTTATTTACTTATTATAAATTATTCCATATATTATATCATATATTTAATAATCAGAAGTCTTTTATTTATAATAATTTTCTTTATGACTCTTTCTACTGATCCCTTTGCCAATTCAAAAAACAGACGTTCTCAAAAATAATTTTTATTTTTGATAATAAAGTCTATATACTCTCCTTAAAAACATTACTCCTTGAAGGCAGGTGCCTCCTCCACTTATTTACTCTTCCTTCTTCAAAAAAACTTTGGATATTTCAGCGACAAAATAAACAAAACTTTATCCATTTGGTCTATGGCAAGAACATCTTACTGGGAAGAAGAAATCTATAGAAAAACACCCTCCACTATTTCTCCTTAGATCAAGAACTTTAGAGAAGTGAATTACTAGTGAATGCATTTTCCAAGATCCATAAGAACCTTGGGTTTACTGTAAGCAAACACCTTGGGCTGAGATAGGTGGATAAACTAGTTAGGCCTATCAGTGAATACACTCCCAAGTAATATTGGATTCACTATAAGTAAACTCCTTGGTTAGGCAGGTGGATAAGCTGATAGGAGTCTGCTATCCAGGTATATAAACCTTTCTATCATTCATACATGTCTGTAGGTAGTACTTCTGAGCATGTTCAATTTTTCTTGGTTTTTCTGGAGAATTTTGCCTACCTCAGTTTGACCCTGAATTTTTTGTTACACCAAAAACTCTGGATGGTGATTGGCTGAAATCTTGGATTGGTTGATCAACAAGTAAAAGAAATGTAAACAAGACACATACCCACATATGCCTCGCATCGTATCACATTATAACTAATGATATAATTGGATGAAGCGAAAGAGCAAGGCGTCGAGGTGTTCTCTTGATAAGAAGTGTTTGGAAGTCTTTCCCCTCCCCTTTTGTACTGGTTTCTTTTCTTCTCAAGGTCAAAGAAGGCTCTCATTAGGCTAGTGATTGGTTTTGATGAGGTTTTTATTTTATCAGTGCAAACTTTTTTCCTTCCTCTTTATCCTTCCCCTTACCTTCTCCAAAAAATAAAATTTTTATACCTTAGGACCACAAAGGTTAAGTTGGGGTGAATAGTCTTGAGTGAAGGGCTGGCGATTATATTGAGATCTACAAGAAACATGGGTCAAGATAGAGCAACTTTTTTTATTCCCCTTAATCACATCTAGAGGCCAGTGGTTGTTGATGGGTGTGCCATATAATGTTAATAAGTTTAACCTATAGTATAGATCTGTTAGATGCTAGATGTATCTACCCATTTGTACCTGGGATCAATTTGAACCCAATAGTTTGTAAACTAGTTTGAATGCAAATAAACTTGAATTTATGGCCTGATTAGATGTAAAAAAAAAAATAATAATAATAATAATAATAATAATTTTCTTTATATTACTAGAAATAATTTATAAAAAACAAAAATTCTATTATTAGACCTATAGATTCATAGCACAGTGGTTAGTGCTCTATGGTCAGATTACAAGATACCAGTTCAATTCTATATAAAAGTAGTTAAATAGAATTAATATGATATCTGACATTATAATTAATCATGTGTTGTTTTTTATAAGATGCCAATTTATATGCCAATCCGGTAAGCATTGAGATTATGATTTTCCATTAAGGTATCATGATATAACAGTTATCTGGTTGATGCATGATGATTGTCATAAAGCTGCTTCATATATAAGTTGTATAGATTCCCCTATATATGTTGTATCCAATAAGCCTTGTCTCAACTTTCTCTCAGGATTTTCTAGTTTGGAGCTATTCCAATCCAGCACTTGCTTAAAAGAAGTTAATCTTTAGAAAGATCTATTAAAGTTACAAATGATGACAAGGAGCAAGTATCTCCTTCAAGGGTCCAAATGAAAAGTATCAAGGTATCCAGAAATCTTATCAATCTTTGTGAAATAGACATTAGCTCTCAGAAAATGAGTTATAGGTTAGGTGGATTAAACTAGTGATAGGTATTTCCCTTTATAGAAACTTCATTCGACTTGTTGGATTTATCTTTGGTATATAATTCTTATAGTTGGGTTTAAGATGGATGGTAAGTTATTATCAAAACAAAGCAGTGTTAGTTATAGTTAGAATTGTCATTAGATACAATTGATATAAATTAGCAATTGTTCCAATTGTAAAAGACACTTGATGTATTTCTAATTACACAAGTATAAATAAAGATCTGCATCATTATATGTTTATCTATAAAAAAAAAAAATTCTATTATTAGTTTTAAAAATATTTAAATCATTAATTTGATTTTAGTAAATAGAGAAATCTTAATTAGAAAAGTTAATTCAAATATTGTTATTATTTTATTACTTGAATCTCAAATTATAATTTGTACTGAATTAAGATTATACAAGTTATAATTTTTTTTATTATTTTTAGCAAGTATTTTTAAACTCTTTATTAAATTAGAATATTTCAAGTTAGGTTTTTAATTATTATGAAAAAATATTAAAAAGAATTGATAAATAAAGTATAACTTAGTTTATATATTCAAATATAATATTATATTTGTATAAAATGGCTATAGAATTTAATCAAAATTATATTAGAAGCTTTTTTATATAATCTTTTTCTTTTGTAATCTGTTGCAATATATAGTATAATTATAAAACTCTAAAAACTCTTTCCGCTGATCCCTTTGCCAACCCAAAAAACAGACGTTCTCAAAATATTTTTTTATTTTTAATAATAAAGTCTACACACTCTCCTTAAAAATATTACTCCCTGAAGGCAGGTGCCTCCTCCACTTGTTTATTCCTCCTTCTTCAAAAAACTTTGAATATTTCAGCGACAAAATAAACAAAACTTTACCTATTTGATCTATGGCAAAAACACCTTACTGGGAAGAAGAAACTTATAGAAAAATACCCTCCACGACTCTCTTCTTAGGTCTGGACTCTAGAAAGTGAATCACTAGTGAATGCATTTCCTAAGCTCCATAAGAACCTTAGGTCCACTGTAAGTGAACACCTTCTGCTAGAAGTGGGTAGATAAACTAGTTGGTGCCTATCAAGTGAATACAATTCCCAAGCTCTATAAGAACCTTGGATTCACCATAAGATTCAAAACTCCTATGGTCCAGGCAGGTGGATAAGCTGGTAGGAATCTACTTTCAGGTGTATAATCTTTCTTTACCAGTCATACAGTTCTGTGGTAGTACTTTCAAGCATATAAAAAATTTTTTTTTGATTTTTTCTTAGGAATTTTGCCTACTTCAGTTTGACACTGAATTTTTTGTTACACCAGATGTTCTGGTTAGTGATTGGCTAAAATCTTGGATTGGTTGATCAGCAAGTAAAAGAAATATAAACAAGACACGTACCCACACATGCCTTGCGTTGTATCACATCATAACCGCTGATATAATTAAATAAAGCGAAAAAGCAAAGTGTCGAGGTGTTCTTTGGATAAGAAGTGGCTTGAAGTCTTTCCTCTTCCCTCTTGTGCTGGTTTCTTTTTTCTTCAAGATTAAAGAAGACTTTTATTAGACTGGTAATTGGTGTTGATGGGTTTTTATTTTACCAGTACAAACTCTTCTCCTTCCCCTTTTATCTTTCTCTTTTTCTTCTCAAAAAAATAAAATTTTTTTTGCCTTAGGACCACAGAGGTTAAGCCAGAGTGACAGTCCTGATGAAGGGTTGGCTTTGAGATTTTAGAATAATAAAGAATCTTTTTCTTTAATTGAGCAACTTGTTCATCTTCCTTAATCACATCTAGAGACCATTGGTTGCTGACGGGTGTATCATATTGTATAGAAAAGTTTAACCTGTAGTATAGGTATAAATAACATTATATGTAGTATACTAAGGTACCACAGTTCATAGAATTGAATTAATAAACTTGCAGATATGGCCTGATTAGGTGAAAAAAATATATATATATAGTATAATTATTATAAAGATCAGAATTTTTATCTTTATATAGTTAATTAGAATTTTATAATAAATATTTTGTAATCAAATGAATTTAAATCCTAAATTTTTACCTAATAACTTATGAAATATTACTACTATAATATAAATCTATAGATTTTAAATTATTAATTTTATTATAAGTTTTAAAATATTATTTTAATATAAAATTTACAAAGTTTTTAAATAAATTATTAAATATATAGTATTTTAAATAAGATACACAATGAACCTCATTAAACTGAGATGGCTGGGACTATTAGTAAAATTTTTTGGAAAATTCAGTTTAGAGGATTTACCTAGTAAATTCAGTTTAACGAGTTAATTTACAATATGCTGGTTTTTGAGCAAACTTCGGAATAACAGGAATTTAATTAGTACTTCGGTTTAATGGAGTTCGGTTTAACAGGGTTGACTGTGTAATAATAATATATTAACAAAAGATAAATTAAATAATATTAAAAAAATTAATTATTAATTTATTTTATTAATTTTTAATTGTAAAAGAAATTGTTATTGTTATTTTTTTTATAATATAAAAATATAATACCCTATTAAACAATAAATAAATATTAATTAATACTTATTACAATTTTTTTTATAATTAAAAGTTAAAATTTTTTTGTAATTTTAATAAATAATATTAAAGCCTTAATATATTGAAAATAATTTTATTTTTTATATATTTTATATTTTTTATAAAAAATAGTAACAAGTTTTATAATAAAAC